GAAAAGAAGGAAGAAGACCTTGGCCTGGAGCTGGAAACTTGGTCTGAGTCTGCAATGAGGATGGAAGGAATCCAAACACCTCAGGTATCATCACTCCTGCCCATGGTCCAAATTAGCAGGGAGCTGGGGTCAAGTCCCAAAGCTGAGAAACAACCCCACATACTCCGATGTCAAACATGTGCATGCTTACTAAATTCCCTGTACTAAATTCCCACTCCTGCATGTGACTTTTGCATGTTATTTTTATATTATGCTAAGGAATTATGTTTTATTCATGTTTTCATCTTCAGAGTCTACTACATTTCCTGATACATAGTTTCTGCTGAATTTTGGGACATGGCCACTGCTTTACCAGGGTCTGATATTAATAATAATGACAGTGGAAGGTTGCAGTTGCAGGGAACTGTTTCTAACACCAAGTTTAAGTGAAAAAAGAACTAGTTTGGAAGAAATATATATATATATATATACATATATATATATACACACACATATATATATATATTTGTAGTTGTATATAGAGGGAAAAGAACCAGCAAAATTCAGTAGTCCTTATAATCCTAAATGGAATGAACAGCTAACCCCACAGATTTACATTGGAATTTGGGGTTTGGAGTCACCACAGTTTAAAAGCAGATTGTTCATTAGGAAAAGTAAGGATAGATTTCAAACATGCTCTGTTAATACACAATAGAAAACTGAAAAGAGTGATGGATACTGCTTCCACAATGAGTGTTCCAGCAGTACCTTAAAAAAACCCACATTGTCTTCAGACTGCACTAGCACTACTGTTGAAGATCCTCCCATTCAAGAGGTGCTCAGTTCATCAGAAAACAATGAATGTATAGCATCTACCAGTGCACAGTTGGAATATGAAGCTAGAAACATATTATATCCTGAAAAATCTAACTCTGAAAATAGTTTTGCCTTTGACAAATTGAGGCAGCCAGAGGAGTGTGTGGATCTGTACAGTAGTAGTCTAGAAATGCCAACACAGAGAGTTTGCCATCATGGTGGAAAGAAAGGAAAGATCATGATGCTTTTCCTCAGACTACATTTCACAGATACCCTGAGCAGACTGAGAAATGTATTTTAGACACCAAAAGTCATTCTTCCCAAAAGGATCAACCTAAAGGACCATCCTAACAGACACAAGAAAGCATGTCTTTCTGAATTGTCCTAGCCTGGTGGGCATTCTTGTCTTGGAGCTCATTACCAAGACAGTCTAAATCAAGATCCAAAGACCAAAAGAGATGACATCCTGACAGAGAAGGTGAAGCTGCCTCCTGGGACACGGGCATCCCAAATGAGAGCCAGTTTGAGTCTCAGCTGCCCCACTTCAGATCCAGCTCCATGTTGATACCCCTGGGAAAGTGGTGGAAGGAAGCTAAAGGGTTTAAACCTCAGCTACCTTTGTGGAAGACAATGATGGAGTTCCAGGTTCCTATCTTTGGCCTGGCTCAGCCATGGCTATTGTTATGGCTCTGTAGAAACCATCAACAAGCAAAACCTCCCTGACTAAAGCCATCACCTGCCCTGTCTTGGAGGTAAGATACAAAGTAAATTATCTGCAATCCCTTTCCTATCATTTCAATGCCTCCTTATTAAGCATTTCCCGGTAGCTGGTTGTCTAACCCTTGTACAGTGACCATACAAAGATGTCATATGACCAGACATCTGTGTGCAACAAGAACACCTTGCTACCATATAGTTGTTTTAGCCCAGGGAATTTAGAATCCACCTAGTGATTAATGACCATTTCAGGCTTATTCAGAGCAAAAGTCTTTTGCAATTGAAGTTGGTCTTTAAATTGTACTTAAAATTAAAAGATCAGAGCATCTTCTGATTTGTATAACTTTCTCCAATGTAATTTTCTCCTATGTACTCAAGGACTGGTCTGGATCATTGCCATCTATTCCCACAGTTTCTCTATGAAGGAAGAGCCACTACTCTTACCCCATCTTACACATGGGGAAACAAAGGCACCAAGAGATCTAGCCACTTGTAAATCACACAGTCAGCAAGCAGCAGTGGTAGAGCCAGGGCTCTAACCCCACAGACCACACCAATCACTATTTTAATTTTACTAATTTTAAAGGTAGAAACAGGCAGGGAGATGTCTCCCATTCAGTGGTTCACTCCCAAAATGCCTGCAATGACCAGGGCTGAGCCAGAACACAGCCAGGATGTGGAGTGCATTCTGCCTCTCCCAAATGAGTGGCAGGGGCCTGATATCTTAAGCCATCACCCACTGCCTGTAAGGATGTGTATTAGCAGAAAGCTGATATTGGGAATTGAGCTGAGGCTCAAAGGCACTCACTCTAGATAAGAGGTGTGGGTGTCCCTAGGGGCAACTTAACAACAGCACCATACGCTCACCCTGAAGTAATTTTACTAATATTATGACATTCTGGAAAGCTTCATATGCTTGAGTGAGGTAAATGATTCCCTCAGACACATTGAAAGTTCAGTTTTTCATTTCCATTTTGAAGCTCTACTTACTTAACTAAAATTGATAGAGGAACAGAACTTAGGATAGTTAATCAAGGAAAGTGTACTGGTTTACTGGAAACCATACTGCAGCAGCAAAATTAGCCTTTTCTGTCTCAGATGTTTGGTTTGGATGTTGTTCTCTAAACTCTGCATTGGACACCTCTAGCATTTTCCAGTATCCCAGTTCTGCTTCTTTTTGGATATAGCTGCCTCTTGATCTTTTCATCTCACCATTGCTTCTCCCCACCACCTTTCTGTTAGCAGGAGAGTCATGGGTTGGAGGTGACAAGCAAGCTGAGAACAGTGAAAGAACTGTGACACTGAATCCTTACACACTTGGGAAAACTGAAACATCCCTGCAGTTCCTCAAGGGGAAGTGAACTCAATGATGATGATGAAGTGAGAAGCCACACCCAGGGCAGGAAGCCACATATCCTGAGGCTGTCATTGCAAAAGGCAAAGAGCTGCAGTCTGGTGGTCATGGCATGGGAATCCCTCCCCATCCCATCCCATCCCATCTCATTCAGAACCTGAATGGCAGGTCATCACTGCCACCACCGCTGCTTGTATCACACTGTTGCCCTGTGCAGAAACTGCCATTTCTTCCCTCTCCGAAGGATGAGTATTTACTGGTTCTGGGGACACCCAGGTGTAGCAATCCAAGGAGGTAAATGTGATGTTCAGCCACTGTCTGCTGTTCAGACAACAGCAACAGCAAAGAGGAAAGCCTGGGTGGATGGAAACTTGGAAAGGTTGCTAAAGAATCTGAAGTGGATAAAGAAGGAATGCAGGGATGAGTTGGAGATAGGTGGTACAGGTAGAGGGGACAAGAAGATCCAGAGTGAACATCATGACAAGGTCTCAGAGCAGTGTAGATACAGAGAAGCAAACTGAGAGGATACCCAGTCAGAATGCTTAACAGGGCTCCATGAAGTGGCCTTGAAAGTAGGAGACTGCCAGATGACAGGACCCAAAGAATGACTGCGGGTGACTCAGGCTGATGGAAGAGAAATGTCCCTGATGGAGAGAAGAGGCCAAGGAAGTGGCAAGTCAATCAAGGTCATGAATGGACCATTTACATTGAAGCCTATAGTTAACCAAAGGATAAAATAGCCCTAGGAGCTAGAGTAGGAAAAGAACTATCAATCAAATGGCACAGTAACCATTTTTCTGTAACAATGTATTTATTTATTTAAAATACAAGATACCAGAGAAGAGAGAGACAGAGAGATCTTCCATCCTCTCACTCATTACTCAAATGGTCACAAAAGGCAGTGCTAAGCCTGGCTGCAGCCAGGACCATGAACTCCACCCCAGGACTCCCAGGTGGCAGGAGCCCAATCACTTGGGCCAACTCTGCTGCTTTCCCAGGCACATTGTAGGGAGCTGAATCAGACAAGGAGCCGACATGACTTGAACCTGTGTCCATACAGGATGACCACATTGCAGGTGAAGGTTTAATCTGCTACACCACAACATGGGTCCAGCAATCAACAGGATATATTTTCCCACAATATTTCTATTCACTCATTCTCTCCTGCTTCTCTCTCTGGACGGCTACTTAGATTTATTCAGAAGTCTAAACTATAGAACTTAAATATGTAAGGTTAACTTATATCATCTCTTCGCAACTCAAAAATAGCTAATTAAAAAATCTGTGTACACAACAGCATTTCTATTTTAATTTTTATTTATTTGACAGATAAAGTTAGACAGTGAGAGGGAGACAGAAAGGTCTTCCTTCCATTGATTCACCCTACAAATGGCCGGTACACCCCGAGCTACGCCGATTCAAAGCCAGGAGCCAGGAGCTTCTTCCTGGTCTCCCACTTGGGCCATCCTCCACTGCCCTCCCGGGCCACAGCAGAGAGCTGGACTGCAAGAGGAGCAACTGGGACTAGAACCCGGCGCCCATATGGGATGCCGGCTCCGCAGGCAGAGGATTAACCAAGTGAGCCACGGCTCCGGCCCCAAGCATTTCTGATAATACTAACAAGTGCTTGTTGAATAAGGAAATTCTTACTACCACATTCATATTTAATGTAGCAGGCATAACTAGTCCACATGGGAAAGAAAACATACCAAGAAAATAAGAACGCAAAGTCTAGAATCCGACAAACACCACCAACCACGGCTAATTACCCGAGGCTTACACAAAACTGCACACTGCATTCTATACAGCCGAGCTGTTTTACTGTGCTCACACCGGAACGAATCTGCTCTTCCAGGCTGTGAGCAGAAGGCCAGCAGCGCAGACATGGTATCACCCCACACACAGAACTGCTTGGCCGACAGCGAGTCAGAAGCCAAATGCAGAAAACCGGCTCCAGGCCTCGATCGGAGGCTGCGTGAGGCCGACCCCACCCCCCTCCCCGGCCCGCGCAGCGTGCGACGCATGCGCACTAACCCGGGCCACGCCTCCCCCTGTGCGCTCGCGCGCACCCCTCCAGGACTGACGCTCCGCCCTCCCCCTCCGCGCGTCACAGAGCCCGAGTTCCTCCCTCCGCCGGGATTGGCTGCGGCGGAGCTGACCCGCCCTTTGCGCCAGGCCTCAGGGGCCCTCTGCGAGGTCGCCTCCAGGTGGGCGTCGCGGCGGACTTCGGGGACGGCGCTCCCGGAGCCCGGCTTGGTCGCCCACTCTGCGGCGCTGGTGTGAGAAGAACGCGTCCTGAGGCCAGTTCCAGAAGCTCCTCTGTTTCTCGCGGCCAGAGTCTACTGGTTTGTGCAAGCCCGGAGGTTTGGGCTGGGGAGGCGGGCGCGGCTGTTGCTGTGTTCACCTTGGGGTTCACCCCAGGGTGCAGATCTGGGGTCAGCTCCCCGTCTCCTTTCAACAGTTGGAAAAGAGAACTCGGATTTCTCCTCGAGCGTCCCCACTGATTTCAGCGCGGGGCTCGAGGAACCCCTGCCGCCCAGGTCTTTCAGTCGCTTACTATTTAGTTTATTCAGCAGCTCCATTGCCGATCTAATACGTGGTGCGGTTCCCCAAGGGCACGGGGGACCGCAGCTGAGCCCGGGCGCCCCGAGCTTGAGAAGTGTAGAGGTAGTGAGGAAATCCGGAGGACTTGATGTTGAGAGACCTTTGTCAGACGGGGAGGGGCTGGGGCGAAATCCCTGCTTTACTGCAGGAGATCGCCACAGTGCATAGGCGATCTGGGGACTTGTGCGGGGACACGGCGTCTTATTCGTACTTTTATCATGCTTGACTTGGTTTAAATGAGAATTTTTATGGACCTAAACGTGTTAAATTGATGATATATTGGTAGGACTCACATGTCAGCTAACCCTACACATTTATTTCAGCGTTTTAAGTGATTTCTTTGCGATATTAGTAGAGAAAATTATTTTTAGTCCTTACTATGAACAAATCTCTGTTGTGAAGTTTCCTGTGTTATGGCGTACGTATTTCCAGGGACCAACAATCATTGCATCAGTTCACCTTGGTAAGTGGCCAGTAGGTCAGTTCAAGTGGAGGTGTCTCAGCTGCCTACCTCTGCTTCCCAAACCAAATGCTCTGGTTCCCCCATGAGTCACTGAAGTCTCAATCCTCCAAGAAGCATTTTTTGTTGTTCTTATTGTTTGAATTAAATGATCTCTCTTAGGTAAGAAAATGAATTATATTTTTATATATAGTAATGAAAAAATTATTTCAGATGGTGTTATAGTACAAAGAAAAAAAAAACAATAAGAGCTATCAAAACTTACTAAGAAAAGAATGGACATTTGGGCTAGTGGTTAAGTGAATGGTTGAGATGTCCACATTTCTTTTCAGAGTGCCAGGGTGTATTTTAGGGGTCAAAAGTAGGTCCAGGCTGCCCACCACTAGACAGTTCATCAGAGATGAGAGTCAGTGAAAGGAACCAGGTTCCCTTAAGAACCAGGTTTCTTCAAGAAGCCATCATTCTTGGGAAAGAGCATATTTGGCATCAAAGAGGTCTGCTTTTACTCCAAGAATGCTGGTGTCTTAAATAAAGCAGTGCACTTGCATCAGCAATCATCTCTGGTGAACTGGCTGTTCAGAGGTGAGCAGCCTGGGCCACATTTTGACTGGTAACAAATGGCAGTCAGCAGTAGGGGTCTAGTCCTCACATGTTACTGGGGAAAGGCAAGCACTGCTTGTGTTCTCCAGGCTGCTCTTGGGGAGCTGACCCCATGGTTGGGATTTCAGGGATATTCCAGAAGCTGCTGAGTCCATTTTTGTGGACACTTTACTTTCTGTTCTTCTGTGACATCAGCTGCCTATAAGCACTTTGTTGGTACAAGGAAATGGTACTGTTTGGAATCCCAGGGCTCAATAACTAAGTTGAACTTAGTGGACACTGGGAATCCTGTTTCTGTGCCATTTGTTTGGGCTTCCTGCCAGTTGGGCCTCACTAAGGTCATGTGTCTTAGTTCTGGTTGATGTGAGACAAGAATCTTAAGACTCTAGTTAGTCCCAGTCCCTCAGCAAGGAGGATTTGGTTTCCATGAGTACACTGTGTGAGAATTAATCTTTGGTAAAATATGGGCAACTTGCCGGCATCGCGGCTCAATAGGCTAATCCTCCGCCTTGCGGTGCCAGCATACTGGGTTCTAGTCCTGATCAGGGTGCCGGATTCTGTCCCGGTTGCCCCTCTTCCAGGCCAGCTCTCTGCTGTGGCCAGGGAGTGCAGTGGAGGATGGCCCAAGTACTTGGGCCCTGCACCCCATGGAGACCAGGAGAAGCACCTGGCTCCTGCCATCGGATCAGCGTGGTGCGCCGGCTGCAGCATGCTGGCCGCGGTGGCCATTGGAGGGTGAACCAACAGCAAAGGAAAACCTTTCTCTCTGTCTCTCTCTGTCACTGTCCACTCTGCCTGTCAAAAAAAAAAAAAAATGGGCAACTCAATTCACCTGAAAGTCCTCTGAGATATCCCAGCTGATTTGTGCACCCTGTAATTATTGTTGTATGAGAACAAAACTGGAAATACTGCATGGTCTTATTATGTATGTAGTAGATTCCAAAGACTCAGGTCTAGGACTCCCTTTGTTCTCTTAAAGCCAGTTGGAGCTCCCCACAGAAGCCCCTGGTGCAGTTGCCAGTGGGGAACAAGACCCATAAGAATATGCCATAGAAAACATCTCTCTATTAGAGTGTCAAAGGCTCGGAAATTCAGGTGTAGTATTCATTGCATGAGAAAATGTTCAGCTCCTTTGCTGGGATTAGGGTTGTTTTTTTTTTTTTGACATAAATATTCAAGTTACATTTTTTCCCTCTGCATATTCCTGTTGAGGTGTTGATGTTATAGTTTAAAATCACTTTGTTTTTTAATTAAACACAATTTTTAGTGAAAAATATCATAACTAAGAGAAAGAAATAAATTAATTTTATTAAAAGAAGAAAGTAATAGATTTTTTAAAAAAGATTATTTATTTGAAAGTCAGAGTTACAGAGAGAGAGAGGTCCTCTGCACGGCTGGAATTGCGCCAATCTGAAGCCGAGAGCCAGGAGACTCCTCTGGGTCTCCCATGTGGGTGAACAGGGCCCAAGGACTTGGGCCATCTTCTACTGCTTTCCCAGACCATAGCACAGAACTGGACCAGAAATGGAGCAGCTGGGACTTGCACCAGCACCTGTATGGGATTCTGGCACTGCAAGCGCAAGCGGTGGCCTTACCTGCTGTACCACAGCGCCAGTCTCAGTAATAGTTTTTTTTTTTAAGTTGCTACAGAACTGCTTGATTTTTCTTGTGATATATGTTATATATATGTTAAATTATAAACATGTTGTATTTTGTGTCTACTTATTAAAAATCCCTTAAAAATCCCTTAAGAGCTGTATTTTGCTTGGTTTACTGATATTACATATTTACATAAATTTAAAACTATTTAAAACATTTAAATTTAAAACATTAAAATTTAAAACATACATATTTACATACATTTAAAACTATTAAATTAAGCTGTGTGGCACAGGACTTCTATAAATCTGATGAATAGCTAAAGTTTGTTGGTAAAATAAAAAAGATTTCTTCAAGTTTGTTAACATATGTTTGCCTGTGTTTATTGGCCAATTAGGATCAAAGTTATATCTGTTAGATGTTTAAGATTATAAAAATATAAATAAATTATGTCAAAATACAATAGTGTTCTGTGTCTCAAGGATAGCAGTTGAACTAGAATATGCTTGTCTGATATTTCAGTTTCCATAACTAAAGTAAAAAAATTTGTTAAATATAAATTAGATGATGGGACTGGCACTGTGGCTCAGCAGGTTAACGCCCTGGCCTGAAGCGCCAGCATTCCATATGGGTGCCAGTTCAAGAACTGGCTGCTCCACTTCCCATCCAGCTCTCTGCTATGGTCTGGGAAAGCAGTAGAAGATGGCTCAAGTCCTTGGGCCCCTGCACCCATTTGGGAGACCCAGAAGAAGCTCCTGGCTTCTGGCTTCAGATCAGCGCAGCTCTGGCTGTTGTGGTCATCTGGGGAGTGAACCATCAGATAGAAGACTTCACTCTCTCTCTGACTCTCTCTCTGTGTAGCTGTGACTTTGAAATAAAGTAAAATAAATCTTTAAAAAAATATAAATTAGATGAATGTAAATGTAATAAATATTTTGATATCAGTTTAATGCCTTGGCTTCTTAAATTGTATAAAATAGTATTTTTGGGTCTGTTACCAAGTATGCTTATATACATTGTTGATATAGAGCATATGATGAATTATCTGTAGCCTCATGTTTACAGCAGCTCAATTCAAAATAGCTAAGATATGGAATCAACCCAAATATCCATCAGCTTAGGACTGCATAAAGAAATTGTGTTATATACACATGATGAAATATTACCCAGCCATAAAAAATAGCGAAACCCTGATTTCACAACAGAAGTGGATGCAATTGGAGATCATTATGCTCAATGAAATAAGCCAAATGCTGTTTTCTCTGACTTGCATTAATATACAGAATCCAAAAATGTAATTTATATTAATGAAATTTACAGTTTTGGATTTGATGATTGTTTATATTCTTTACTCCTGAGGAACAGTGGTTTTTCTAACTACTTATTGAATTCTTTATTTAGTGGAAAGTTAATCTTGTGATTATAAAATAAATTAGAAATATGTCATTACAGGAACTCAAATAAGGAAGGAAGAGGGAGGGTAAGAGCAGGGAAGCTTATGAGGGTAGGTGGGAAATATTATTTTCTTAAAAATGTGCATAAGAAATACATGAAATTTGTTCCCTTTATATACATTTTAAAAATTTAATTAACATTATTCATATATGACAAAGAATTCAAGACTGCTTCAAAGTAACGAAAGGCAAAATTTCTATATGTAACAACAAACAAAAAAGAAAAAGTAAAGCAAAAATGAATTTAAAAAAAACAAAAAAAGTAAAAGAAAAAGGAAAAATATATAAATTATAATAAAAAATCTATCATACTTTTGTTAAAAATGTTTTGCTTTTAGATATTTTTAAGGGAATGTTTCAAATTAAATGGAGAGGCCTGTGTTGTGGTTTAAAGCCCTGGCCTGAAGTGCCAGCATCCCATATGGGCACTGGTTCTAATCACAGCTGCTCCTCTTCCAATCCAGCTTTCAGTATGGCCTGGGATAGCAGTAGAAGATTCCCAAGTCCTTGGGCCCCTGCACGTGGGAGACCCAGAAGAAGCTCCTGGCTCCTGGCTTTGCATCGGCACAGCTCCAGCCATTGAAGCCAACTGGGGAGTGAACCAGCGGAAGGAAGACCTCTCTCTCTATCTCTACCTTTCTCTGTAACTCTGTCTTTAATAATAATAAAAGAAAAATTAAATGGAAGCATATAAAATATAAAAGAAAACTAGGTAAGGAGTTTAAAAAAATTTTTTTATATTTTATTTAATGAACATAAATTTCCAAAGTACAGCTTATGGATTACAATAGCTTCTAAAAATGTTTTAAAATTATAAAAATGTGTTTTTCTTAAGTAAAACTATAGGATAAAAGAGACATATTTTCACTAATGATAATAATTATTGTGGGGAGCAGCCCAGACTGGACTGAGTTACTGGAATTAAGACTTATTCTATGCATCTGCTCTCCCACAATATGGCGCTGGGAGAGAAGTAAACAGCTTCCGCACAGCTGCCTCCAGTTCAATCAATAAACTGTAGGACTTGCTACTGATTGGAGGAGAGCAGCGTACTCGGCGTGTGGGCAGCCAAGTTGGGATTGGCAGAGGAGGACTATAAAGAAGGAGAGAGACGGCATTCACCAGGAACATCTAAGGGGAACATCTAAGGGAACACCTGTGCAGCCCCCGAGAGAGCCGGCCGGTGGTGTGCCGCTCCCCTGCGGAAGTGGGGAATGTGGCCAGGGGGAACTGCCCTTCCACGGAGGTGGAAGGGATAGTAGCCAACCTGGGAAGAACGAGCAGCAAACCCGGGGAGGGCCGAGCAGACAAAAGAACAGCGCAGGGTCCTGTGTCGTTCCTCCACGAAGAGGGGGAGTGACATAATGGTGCCGTGACTCGGATTAGGAAACCTAGGACGGATAGAAAACTTAGGAGGGAAGAAACGGGAAGAAATGGGAAAATATCGGAGAGAGAGACTAGCAAACAGCCTAGGGAAAAGCCGGACGAAAAGGGTGCCGGAGGAAGCTGTTGAAAGCCTAGGCATAGACTCGGATACGGACTACGGGGGGAAGCTGGGAGAAATCTCTAAGGTTGAAAGCGAAAGTGAAATCTAGAACAAACAGACTCAGATGCGGACTGTGGGGAGAGGCCAGGAGAAATGAGGGAGGAGTATTGTTGGAGGAAAGCTTGGGGAAACATACCGGGTAGAGAAAAATGTTAGGGAAATTGAAGCCGTGGGGGGCAGGCCGAGGCGGAAACGAAAGCCACTTTGGGATTCTCAAGTTAGCCCAGGAATAGGGGGCGAAAAAACCAGAAGCAGAAACGTAAGCCAGATTGGGATCCGTCTGATTAGCCCGGGGAGCAAAGGACGGGAAGCCAAATCGTGGGGCGGAGACGTGAGCTGGGTTGAATTCGCCAGGTTAGCCCGGGGAACTTAGATTGAATGCTAGTGGCGGAGACGTAGGCTATGCTGTGTGACTCGCGGAGGCTGCCGTGCGCAGAGAGAGCGTGCGGGGCACAAGTAGATAGGGAACGCTGGGCTAAGTGCGAGACCGCGGAGTGTGCGCGCAAAGCCGAGCCGCGCAGATGAGAGAGACGCGGGCTGAAGCGGCTCAGCCGGAAAGCCGCCGAGAAACAGCCTCAGGGCGGGTGCCAGGAAGCCGCGGGGATAAGAGAAACAGAAGTTTAGAAGTAAAATGAGAGAAATAGGAATGCTGGAAGATAGAAGTAAAATGGGAGAAATAGGAATGCCCGGAGATAGAGAAATAGAGAAATAGAAAGGCCTCCCCACAATGCCGCAATTAGAAGGCTTGGATTCGGTCTGCCCGATTAGTGAGGCGATGAGCACCTGCGGTGGCTAGCAGCTTATGCGCCGCAGGTCACCGAAGACAGGCACGAATTAACATCAATAAGGCCTCCCCACAACACTGCAATGTGAGAGCTTGGATTCGGTCTGCCTGATTAAGTGAGGCGATGAGCACCTGCGGGCGGCTAGCAGCTTATGCGCCACAGGTCACCGAAGACAGGCACGAATTAACATCAGTAAGGCCTCCCCACAATACAGCAATTAGGAGGCTTGGATTCGGTCTGCCTGATTAAGGCGGTAAGCACCAGCAGGCGGCTTGACCAGAGTGTGAGCCGCAGGTCACCGAACACAGGCACGCATCAGCGCCTAAAAACCTCCTCACAACATGGCGAAGAGAGGACCCGGATTCGGTTTGCCTGATTGATAGGACTTGTAAGAACCTGTGGCAACTCTAGCAAGTAGAGCAGAGTGTGTGCCGCGGGACACCGAAGACAGGCGCGTATCAACGCCAAAAAATAAAAAGAAAGGGGGATCTGTGGGGAGCAGCCCGGACTGGACTGAGTTACTGGAATTAAGACTTATTCTATGCATCTGCTCTCCCACAATATGGCGCTGGGAGAGAAGTAAACAGCTTCCGCACAGCTGCCTCCAGTTCAATCAATAAACTGTAGGACTTGCTCCTGATTGGAGGAGAGCGGCGTGCTCGGCATGTGGGCAGCCAAGTTGGGATTGGCAGAGGAGGACTATAAAGAAGGAGAGAGACGGCATTCACCAGGAACATCTAAGGGGAACATCTAAGGGAACACCTGTGCAGCCCCCGAGAGAGCCGGCCGGCGGTGTGCTGCTCCCCTGCGGAAGTGGGGAATGTGGCCAGGGGGAACTGCCCTTCCACGGAGGTGGAAGGGATAGTAGCCAACCTGGGAAGAACCAGCAGCAAACCCGGGGAGGGCCGAGCAGACAAAAGAACAGCGCAGGGTCCTGTGTCGTTCCTCCACGAAGAGGGGGAGCGACAATTATCCTAAAAATAAGGAAAAAATTTTAAAAGTTTGTAAAAAATGAAATCTTTTGAGAGATTGCATTGACAGAGACTAGATTAAAATGATTTATGTTTATAAAACCTAACATTTAGTAGTATACTGCTACTGTGGTATAGCAGGTTAAATCCCTGGCCTGCATCCCATATGGGTACCGGTTCTAGTCCTGGCTGCTTCTCTTCTGATCTGGCTCTCTGTTGTGGCCTGGGAGAGCAGTGGAAGATGGCCCAAGTCCTTCGGCCCCTGCACCCACATCGGAGCCCTGGGGGAAGCTTGGGGAAGCTCCTGGCTCCTGGCTTCAGCTCTGGCCATTGCAGCCAGTGGGGGGTGAACCAGCGGATGGAAGACATCTCTCTCTGTGTCTCTGCCTCTCTCTGTAACTCTGTCTTTCAGATATACAATTTAAAAAAAAAACCCTAAAATTTAGTCCCCTGTGTGAAAATAACAAGGTTTTCTTAAAACATTGTTAGTAATGGGGTAGTCCTGGTGTAGCAGGCAAAGCTACTGCCTATAATGCTGGCAACCCATATGTGTGCCAGTTTGAATCCCAGCTGCTTCATTTCAGATCCAGTTCCCTGCTAATGGCCTAAGAAACAGCAGATGACTTAAGTGCTAGAACTCTGCCATCCACATGAGAGACCTGGAGGGAGCTCCTGACTCTGTTATGACCAGACCCTAAAAATGCTTATCTTAAAAGCCTCAGATAGTGGCTTGTGCTATGACACAGTGGGTTAAGCTGAGGCTTGGAAGGCTACATTAGCTTCCTGCTAATTCACTTTAACTTCAAGAGTTAAGATTATTAATATGTATTTTGAAAAATTAGTTGTTTCAAATTAAGTCATTTGACTGTGATTTCCAGCTGGAAGCCCAAGGGTCCTCAAAGAATCTATCTGTCATTCAGTAGAGATGATTGCTAATTAGACACCTAGTGATATATATGGAGCATTGCTGAATTGTAGATTCATGCTAAATTTAAAGTTACTTTCACATAGATACATTATTGATGTAAGTATTCTATAGGTTATATGACAATAATGTCTGGTAGTTCTGATACAATGTTATCTTTCATGATTGTTATCTTCTTAATAAAAGACTGGAGTCTGTAAAAATCCTTGGAGTTGCCCCTCCCTTCACAATAGAGACCTCAAAAATTAAATAGTTTTGAAAATACTATTGTGCTTTAAAAATACTAAATATAATATTTTAATACATAAAAATGGAAAATTGAAAAATTTCTAAATCTGAGATTAATCTTGTAACAAATAAGCTTTTCTTACTGTACTTATACAGACAGCAATAATATGCCTACAATTATATTGCTTGTTGTGTTTAAGATACAATTTGATTTGTAATACTCTTGTTAGTTTGTTGTGTATTCTTGCTTTTGAGCATTTTGCCTGTCACCTATCAGAATTCTGCAAAAGAAAATTCACACCCAGATTATGCTGGCCTAAAAAAACATAAAAGAGTTTGTAAAAACACTTCTGTCTTTATCAAAATCCTATATACAATACATGTAACTATGTCTCCTTGTTTTCCAGTAAATTGTTACTCAAATTTTAATTATGGTGATTTTAAGTTTTTTTTTTTTTTTGCCATCAATAGTGCTGTTTCTTTGCTAAAAACATTTACAAACAGAGAAGATTCTATCAAGTATTTATAAATACAGATTTCTGATGAAATGAACAAACTAAAAAATTCTGATTAAAGAAAGCTGACAGATTTATAAAACTGTTACTTTAGATCATACAAAAGAATAAATTCATAGAGACTTGAACTAGTCAAGTTGTAGGTTTCTGTTTCTTTTACTTAGAGCATTGCTTCTCTACTTAAATGTTGTCTCTCAAGTTTAAAGATTTACTGTGATTTCTAGAGTTTATAACACTCTGGTAGACTATGTTTTTATAAACAAAAGTAAAGATATTTACTTTTCTTCCCACTAAATTCACCCAACATTCAAAAACAACTTAATGAGAAGTTTTGGTTTACATAACAATGTAATTAGTTTCAAAAATTAATTTAAAAATGTGCTTTCGTAATAAAACATAATTTAAACACTGATTAATCTAAAAATAAACAAAAATGCCAGACTTCAAGTACTGGCATTTCAATGAGTAAATGAAATGATCCCTTCTTAATAGATCTTGGGGCAAGCATTGTGGTGTAGCAAGTAAAGCAGCCATCTGTGGTGCCAACTTCCCATATCATTGCCAATTTGAATCCCAGCTGTACAGTTCTGATTCAGCTCCCTGATAATGTGCCTTAGACAGCAGTGGGAGATGGCTCAAGTGCTTAGGTATTGCACCCATGTGGGATACTCGGAAAAAGCTAAAGCTCCTGGCTTCAACCAAGCTCAGCCATGGCCTTTGTGGCCATCTGGGGAGTGAACCTGCAGATGGAAGATCTCTCTCTCTCTCTCTCTCTCTCTGCCATTCAGATAAATAATTCATTTAAAATAGAAAAGTAAATTTTTAAAGATTTATTTACTTATTTGGAAGGTAGAATTACAGAGAGATGGTTGCAGAGAGAGATAGATCTTCCATCTACTGGTTCACTCCCCTAATGGCTGCAACAGCTGGAGCTGGGCCAATCTGAAGCCAGAGCCAGAAGCTTCTTTCATGTCTCCCGCATAGGTGCAGGGACCCAAGCACTTGGGCCAGCTTCTTATGTTTTTCCAGGATGGAACAAAGAGCTGGATCAGAAATGGAGCTTTCAGGACTGGAAATAGCATCCATATGGGATGCTGGCACTGTAGTCAGAGGATTTGTGCAATGAGTTGCCTGCCAGTTGTGTAGCTTAACTACCTTCATTGGTAACTATACCCACTGACCACACTGGGCTTGATTATGAAACTACACCTAGACACATCTAGAGACTTTAGCCCAGGAGCAATATAATGGAACCAAATAGTGTTTGTGAGTATTCTACAATATGATAGGAGTCACTGTGCACCTATTCCCTATGTAGGATCTCTGTCCTTAATTTGTTGTACTATGCCAATTAATGCTAAAACTAGTCTTCAAACAGTACTTTATACTTTGTGTGTCTGTGTGGGTACAGTCTGTTGAAATCTTTACTTAGTATATATACTAAGTTGATCTTCTGTATATAAAGATAATTAAAAATGAATCTTAATGAAGAATGGGATGGGAGAGGGAGTAGGGGATGGGATGGTTTGCAGATGGGAGGGAGGTTATGGGGGGAAAACTGCTATAATCCAATAGTTGTACTTTTGAAATTTATATTTATTAAAAGTTTTCTACAAAAAGAAAACAGTTGAAAAGTTAAAAAAAGAAATTGACTGACAGTACTGACACGGATGCTGGCATTGTTGCACCATTACTCTTATTCCACAGAGGGGATTTCAAAAATACATACTTAGGAGTCAGCATTATGGCACAGCAGGTTAAGCTGCCACTTGCAGCACTGGCATCCCATATCAGTGAGTCAGTTAGGATGCAGGCTGGTGTGCCTCTAATCCAGCTTCCTGCTAATGCACCTGGGAAGGCAGCAGCAGTTGGCTCAAGTGCTTGGGCCCCTGACCCTTATCTAGGAGACACAGATAGAGTTCCAGTGTCCTGGCTTTGTTCTGACCAGAACTGATTTGAGCCATTTTGGAAGTAAAACAGTGAATAGAAGATCTCTTTGTCTATCTCCTTCTTTCTTCCATTCTGCTTTTCAAATAAATATTTAAAAAATATATGTATACATATGTATATATGCATGTACAGACATACACAAAAAATTTTTTAAAAAATTTATTTATTTATTTGAAAGGCAGAGTTACAGAGAGGCAGAAGCAGGGAGAGAGAGCACTTCCATCCACTGGTTCACTTCCCAGATGCCTGCAATGGTCAGAGTTGTGCCAATCCAGAGCCAGGAGCTTCTTCCAGGTCTCCCATATGGATGCAGGGTCCTAAGAACTTGGAGCATTTTCTACTACTTTCCCAGGCAATAGCAGAGAGCTGGATTAGAATTAGAGAAGCCAGGACTTGAAGCAGTGCCCATATGAGTTGCTGGCACTGCAGGCAGAAGCTTTGCCCGCCACAGCTCTGGACCTTACCTTACACAAAACTTTTAAAAAACACTTTACTGTGGTATGATTGATATAAAAATAGGTATTCACAGCTTGCTCTGTTGGTGATAAGCATATACCTGTGACATTGTTACCAGCATTAAGGCCATCATAGGATTATTTTCTTATTTTATTTTTCAGTTTGTTTTTAATGTATAGAAATAGAAATGACTTTTGTGTGCTGATTTTGTATCCTAAAACTTACCGAACTTGTTTGTAAGTTCTAATATATTTTTGATAGAGTCTTTAGAATTTTCTATGTGTGAAACTGTGATATCAGCACACAGAGATAGCAGTTCTCAAGAGAGATTTGATCATTTGAGTTCAGGCTCTGCCTAACTGTTGTATCTCCCCTTCCTGACAATATATGATGATGCCTCCACATCCATGAGCAATGTCTATCCACGATGTACTATGGAGCCACCAGATTCTGTAGCCTCCAACCATAAGCTGAAACAAATCCTTTCTTTCCAAAGAAACTCTTCTCAGGTATTGTAGTTAAAATAATGTAAAGTAGAATAATGCAAACCCCTAGATATTTGGATTTACTTCTGGAACAGAGTTAAATTCGATGGGGAAAAAATCTCCATGCCCACATGAGAGAAACAGGTATATTAGAAGGTAATATGACATTTCATATAAGTTAAAATTAATTTTTCAACAAAATATATTGAAATAACTGGTTGTGTTTGAGAGAAAATGTGGGTAGTTCTTCCAGGCTTTTTCCCACCAAGTTTTAGGAAATTTCACAAAGATCCACATGACTGACATAAGGACATTCCTGGCATTTCTAATATTTTCAGCTTTGAGACTTTAATAAAAGTATTGAATGCAAGATGATTATTTGTTGTCTTCTGGTTTTTTTTTTTTTCTGTCCTCTGAAGTTCAGTTTCAAATTCTGTTCCTGCTGTTCCAGCTTACTTCTCTACCTCATCAACCTCTTCTTACCAACTTTTCTTACTGATGCAGGATAAGTAAGAATACATCTCATTTACATCATGCAGTGCAATGTGTTTTAAGAACACACAAATGTGTTCACACAAATGTTGTGAATTGAGTGCTGGAGTAGAATCCCAGCTTTGTGACCCCCTGCAAAGTACTTAATCTGTGCTTCAGTGTCCCTGTCTATGAAGCTGATAAAGCAGTGATCCTGTCACAGGGTTGTTGTGAAGCCTGAACATTCCTTTTATTGAAGGACCAAGAATCTGTGTCTACTGAGTACATAAAATGGAATGGAAATGTAGTCCATTGTACTTCCAAGGACTGAAGATTTGTGGAATAGAGTATCCTGAACAAATGTAAAAACAATGATAGCATTTCAAGGCAGAGATATTTCTGTATTTGTTTACTAATTTTTAAAGATTTACTTATTTGAAAGGCAGAGTTAGAGAGATACAGAGAGACAGAGAAATATCTTTCATCCTCTGGTTCCTTCCCCAAAGGGATGCAAAATCTGGGACTGGGCCATTCTCAAATCTTGATCCTGGAACTCTGTCCAAGTTTCCCATGTAGGTAGCCCAGGCCCAAGAATTTGGACCATCTTCTGCTGCTTTTCCAGGTACATTATCAGCGAGGTGGATCAGAAATGGAGCTGCCAGGACTTGAGTGGATGCTCTTATGAGATCCTAGCATCACAAGCAGAAATTGAACCTATTGAACCACAATGCTGGCCTCTAAAGCACAGATATTTAAAATAGAAATTATTTTTTATTACAGGAACTTTAGAGGGAAAACACAGAAAGGAAGCCTGGTGCCATTAATTTGGTTTTGGCCACTGTGTTTACTAACAGACTATTTGGACTTCATACAGGGTGCTGGTACCTTCAAGGGGAAAGTTAATACTGAAGTACAGATGGCTTCAGAACTAGCCATTGCTGCACTTGGGGAAAAATGGTGGTGTTGTCACTACACCCTCTGACCCAAAACATCTGGGTAAGCTTCATGTCTATTTCTTTTTCTCCTTTCCCTCTTTGTCTCATATTGCCTGCTGCTTTTGAATTAGTTGGTGAATAATAATTATTGGTGGTAATTGCTTGGGCTGCATGTATCACATGGGCTAATAATGAGTAGGGCATGTTGCTGACAGATGGACCAAGGCACAAAGAGCCTCTAAACCTCCTCTGTGTTCTCCAGACACTGCCTGAACCACCTCCCACTGAATACCTCATACAGATCTCAAGCCTAACATTTCTGGAGTATCCATTTTTCTATTTCACCTCAATGTGCTCTTGCAGTATTTTCTATCTAAGTCAGCAACAATTCTATATTTCTGGGTATTTTAGCCCAAAATGTGGTGTCCTCTGGACTTTCTTTAAACCCTGCACCCCCTGTGAGTTCTGTCTTCAGACTTTGCTTATGATCCTCCTGCCTCTCTGGGTGCTGCTCTTCCCCACCCTCTTGCCTGAGTGGTGGTGGTACCTTCTAGCTGACCTCTCTGCTGCACTCCTGCTTACAGTGGAGCAACATAGCTCTGGGTTCTTTCTAAGGCATGGACTGCCACTCTTCTGCACAGAACCTCCAGTGGTGTCCATGCCATTCTATGAGGTTGGATGTAATTTGCACCACCCCATCCCCTTCTATGCTTCCTTTGCTTGTGCAGATCTGTCGCTGGCTGCTTCCCCAGCCTTTCTTCACAGGCTGAGCTCCTTGAGGCCTCTGACCCTGCTGTTCCTTCTAAGTGGTGACTTGTCCACCTGTAATCTTTATGGTTCTGAGCCCCATTTTTCCAGGTCTCTGCTTATTAGGGAGATCTTTCCTGACTATGCTAAACAGAAGAGAACACATAGTTGCACAAGCCCACACATGCACACACACACAGTCACTCTGCTCCCCTTGCTCTGTGTGGTGTTTTCCCTGGGCAGCTATCACAAATGGTCTAAGTATGATTTTCCCTGTCTTCTGTTTGTTCTGTGTCTCTAATCTCATGATGATGGGGATCTTTGGTCACTGCTCTATCTCTAGCTTGGAGAGTGTTGTCTAATGTATAGAAGTGACTCACTTAAAATTTGTTGAATGAATGAACTGGGTTTTTATAAGCTACAGACATGAAAATCAATTGCAGCTTGTTGGCTAAATGCTTTTACCAGGATTTGAGTGCTCTTACATTCAAACATGAGTTAAACATTTCCTGATCAAACCACCCAATTGAAAATTCTTTTTTTAAAGATTTATTTATTTAATTGAAAGAGTTACACATTTAGAGAAGGAGAGGCAGGGAGGGAGGGAGAGAGAGAGAGAGAGAGAGAAAGTCTTCCATCCACTGGTTCACTCTCCAATTGGTCACAGTGGCCCAAGCTGTGCCGATCTGAAGCCAGGAGCCAGGCGCTTCTTCCAGGTCTCCCATGCAGGTACAGGGCCCAAGGACTTGGGCCATCATCTGCTTCTTTCCCAGGACATAGCAGAGAGCTAAAGTGGAACATCTGGGATTCAAACCGGTGCCCATATGGGATGCCAGCACTGCAGGCAGTGGCTTTACCTGCTATGCCACAGTGCCAGACCCTGAATTTTTTTTTAAATTCAATATATAAAAGGTAAAATGGATTGTACTCATTTTCTCTGAAAATCAAGAATTTGAGAAAAATAGCTACTATTTCATTTTCTTCATAATTGGAAGCTTTCTAGAAATATTCACCATATGATTCTCATTTCACTCTAATTTATTATAGAGGAGCTATTTATTATAGAGGAGCTCCATCATTTACCAGTTTCAGAGTGAGCTGCCTCAAATACAAAGATGAATGTTTTACTGTAAAACAGTCACAAGCATTTTGGAATGTCTTGCAATATAGAGTATTTTTGAAGTCATTGTCACCACAGTTTGGTAGTGGTGGTTGTGCAGCAGCCAGAAATCACCTGATGTGACTGGGTGGGAGGCCTGGGCAGAATCAGTATCCTCAGAATCTTGGGCTTGGTCCTGCTGGGCAGCTCTGCAGTCATCCTAGGAGGTATTCATTGAAAAGCAATAAAATAAGCCTTACCACAGGCTGACTGTTAAGTTGTAATTTCACATCTGAATAATTTAGTTGGTTGTACTATAGGTTTCTGAGTTATGGAAGAATTTTTTAAAATACATTTATGTGAAAGTGTGACAATGCAGAGATCTCTCGTCCACCGATTCAGTCCCCAAATTGCAGCAACAGCTGGAGCTGGGCCAGGTCGATGAAGCTAGAGGTTGGGAACTCAATCTGGGTTTCCTGCATGGGTGGCAGGGACCTAACCACTTCCATCATCTGCTGCAACCAGGGTCTACAATAGCTACAAGCTGGGATTGGGAGTTGAGTCAGGACTTGAACCCAGGCACACTGATACATGATTCAGGCATCCAAGCTATGTATTAACCACTACACCATAGGTCCACCCTAGAAAAAATGTTTAGGTCACATTTTTCTTCTCTTTCTTAGAGGGCCAATTTCAGAATAAAAAGAGTTATTTATCTTGGGTGAACTTTATGGAAGAAAGTTTATGCCATCTAATTTTTAAATGCTTGGAATAGTCTATTTTTTTTTTTTTGAGGTTTTCTACCTATTGTTTTAATGGGAAGATGTTGATATCAGTAAGTCATTGCCTTATTTTTCAGCATTTATGTAGGATTCAGCAGCCAGAAGCACATTTTTCTCAACTTATTGGAGCTTTGGGTGGCTATAATATCCAGTGTATTTTGGACCTGCTGAATTTGGAGTGAGTTAGTGCATGTGGTTTATTTGGTGGTGGTGGAGTGAAGCACACAAGCCATTTAGCAGTGGAAGAAGGATTCCTCTCAGACTACATTATTCCAGTACACTGCACTTCTTTCTATGCTGCCTATTTTCCTTCAAAAATATTTTAAGAGAAAAAGGTGCTCAACTAAAGTATTTCTCAACCTCCTTTCCTAATACTACTTGATAATAATTTCTTGCTGAGTCAAGAACTGAAATACTGGGGCCAGAACTGTCATGTAGTGGGCCCAGTCTGCCTTCAGAGCCAGCATCCCATAAGAGCGCAGCTTTGAGGCCCAGCTACTCCACTTCTGATCTAGATCCTTGCTAATCTGTCTGAGAAAGCACAGGAGGATGACCCAAGTTATATAGCCCCTGCACCCACATAGGAGACACAGAAGAAGCTTTTGGCTCCTGGCTTCAAATCCACTTAGCTCTGGCCTTTGCGGCCATTTGGACAGTGAGCAAGCAGATTGAAGACCTGTTTCTCTGTCTTTCTCTCTCTCTGTTTCTAACTCTGCCTCTTAAATAAATACATCTTTAAAAAAAGAACTGGAATACTGAGTAGCCCTGTTAAGTGAAATAATATAGGATTGCTTATCCAGAGCCTCTGTTGGCTTTTGCTAGTTTTGTTTCTGTAATTACAAGTCTTGACTCCAGAAGACATTTTCCAGTTCTCATTTCTTTGGGTGGCTGTTTCTCATTTACCCTGTGTTGGCATTCTGCTAGAACATGAAATGTGCTAGAGTAACTATCACATGCTTGCATTTAACAGATATTTAGTCAGTGGTTAGTGTTTGTCAGACACTGATGGTCTGGAGAGAGACTAACTTGAGTTGTGAAGCTTTCCAAAACAGATATTATATTTTGGTGAGTGTTAACATTTACCTTACTGAATTACAGGTACTGTGCATGCATGCATGAATTATATAGATTAAATCAGGTAGATTTCATAATGGCCCCATTAATGTAAGTGCTGTTATATTAAGGTTCTCAGTAAGTTCTTTAGTACTACTTTGATTTCTGTGAGCTCTTTAATATTTCCAGTTGTGTGTAAGTTTGCATTATTTAAAGCACAATAAGTAGGCCATCATTGTACTTATAGAGTTATTTATTTGTGTATTAACCTCAACTAAAGACTCTGTAACATTGGTGGTATTTTGTGCATAGGACTTCTCTTACTACTTAAACTTAAGACATTTCAGGTACTTTAAAAAGTTTAAGGCCAAATCAGGATTGGTCAGCATTCCTCTGTTGGTTGCTGTCACTAAGATATCTTCTCCTGCTTTTTGGTTAAGAGAATTCATTTTTATAACTCGCTTTCTCAGAAATAACAACGCTTCTTCATAATTTCCTTTTTTGAATTATTTATTTATTTATTTAAGAGATATAACTACAGAAGAGAGGGGGAGACAGAGAGAGAGGTCTTCCATCTGCTGGTTCACTCCCTAAATGGCCACAATGGCCAGAGCCAGGCCAATCTGAATCCTGGAACCTGGAGCTTCCTCTAGGTTCCCACATAGGGGCATGGGCCCGAGGTCTTGGGCCTTTTACTGCTTTCCAAGGTCTTCTTCAGGGAGCTGGATTGGAAATGGAGCAGCCAGGACTCAAATCTTTGCCCGTAAGGGATGCTTAACGTACTATGCTACAGTTTCAGCCACATTCCTAATTTCTTTTTTTAAAAATTTATTTATTTATTTATTTGAAAGTCAGAGTTACACAGAGAGAGGAGAGGCAGAGAGAGAGGTCTTCCATCCTATGGTTCACTCCCCAGATGGCTGCAATTGTTGGAGCTGTGTCAATCTGAAGCCAGGAGTCAGGAGATTCTTCTGGGTCTCCCACATGGGTGCAGGGGCCCAAAGGCTTGGGCCATCTTCTACAGCTGGATCAAAAGTGGAGTGGCCAGGTCTTGAACCGGCACCCATATGGGATGCTGGCTCTTCAGGCCAGGGCATTAACCTGCTGCACCTCAGCGCCAGCCCCTACATTCCTAATTTCTAAACTGGTGAGAAAGATAAGATTTAAAAAGAGTTCTTGTGGTCCAGTATCATGACATAGCAGGCTAAGCTGCTGCTTGTGATGCTGGCATCCCATATCTGATTGTCAGGTTGAATCCTGGCTGTTCTGCTTTAGCTCTAGCTCCCTGATACTGTGTTGGAAATGCTTGGGACACTGCCACCTATGTGGGACACTATGATGGAAGTCTTGGATCCTGTCTTCATTGTAGCCCAATCCTGGATGTTTTGGGCATTTTGAAAGTGCCCCATGGATGGAAGATCTCTCTGTTGCTCTGCCTTTTTAATAGATAAAAATAAACACTAAACAATTATAACCATCAGTGTGTAGAAGCCAGTATTTGCATTTTTTTTTGTTTACCACCCCCACCTTTTAAAAGAAATTCTATGTAATCTTGTTCCATTCTTTCTGTGTGGATAGCCCTTTCCAAATGCATGTTTCCACCTGGTGTCAAGTACTGTCATCACCTGGTAGATCTTGCCAAATTTCCTGAAACAAAACTTGAACTTACCAAGAAATATGGCTCTATTTTAAACTGCTATCACCAAAGATGAACTCTTCCAAATGCTCAGTACTCCAAAGGATTCAAGGCAGATTTTCTTTGGTTTTGCTCTTGGATGGGTGATAAATATGTCAGACAAGAAAATCTTGAAATCTATAGATGAGAATTCCCTCAACTATTATAGCTTGCAAATTCCATTCCAAAAAGCAAAATATGGAAATTGTATCAGAAAAGAGACCAAACCATACAGATTTCTCAATGAATTTTCCTGATGTGTAATTCTCCAAATGTCCATTCAATTTTCAGTGCATATTTTTAATTTACATCTAAAATTAAAATAAACCTTCAGGAAGCAAGGACTACCTGGAAGAATTGAGTCTGTGTGTTCTATCTCTGTTGAAGGAACATGGTAACCATTTTAGACCCTAAGACTGTATGAGCTTTCCCCCCTGGGTCTCCTCTTGTTATTAAGGCAAGTCAGAATGAAGGTGCAGTAGAATGGATCTGATCTATAGGCTTAGCCAAGATTGGAGCAGGTGCTCATGAGCTTTTTCAGTAGTCTTGAGAAAACTTTGCTGCCTGGTGTCAGGGTGGCAAACACTCAGCCATGGGAGGAAGGCTGCAGGCTGTGAATAGCTTCCAAGTAGCACATTTTCAGGCAACATTGAGGGGGTTAGGGAAACAAATTACAAGTGAATTCCTTTTCTTCACTCTATGATTAGACAATAATGATCAAACCAGTACATTTTTTCTTGAAAAATGTTACATTCAAATTCTAACTGATGTAAGTTTGCTTGTGTCAGAGGTTGTAGACCTTTATATTTCAGTCATTTCAAGTTATTTTTGGAAAATTGTTTAATGATTATAAAAGCCATAAAAACAATAGGTATTTTGAAAATTAAACTTTGTTAATATAGAAAATTCAGCCATTATTAAGCTTAATTAAAGATTGATCTTAAATAACTCATGATAATTGTACCACAGTGAAAATAAATGATTCCTTTTTTAAATATATTTTCTTAAAGTTAAAATAGTGAAACCTACACAGGGGTAAATATTTAGCCTAGCTTTTAAGATGTCTGCATCCCATATTTGATTCCCTGGGATTGGGATTGATTCCCAGCTCTAGCTTTTGATTACAGCTTTCTGCTAATGCAGACTCTGAGAGACAGTGTTGTTGACTCGTGTGTTTGAGTCCCTGTGATAAGGGCAGGCAGATAGGATTAAATTAATTAGATTCATGAGCTGGAAAATCATACCCCTGATCTCTGCATGATCTCATGCCCCTACTTAATATTACATGCATACATCCAACTGTTGATTAGATGATATAAGCACTCCCCTTTGTAAGTGAATAGAAGGTGTGGCACATGCTGGGCCTGCCCCATGTTTTCCTGTGCCTCTAGGCCCATAGCCTTTTAGCCACCCCTACCCTGCTTTTCTGCCTATGGGCTAGCCTACCTGTGATAACTCCTAATCACATGCTTTGATTTGTGCAGCTCCAGCTTATGAATTTCTCAAACATGGCTCCTGGCCTGCTTTCTACCTGGTATTGACTTCCCAGTTCATGTTTCTAAACTCTTTTTCCCTTTCATAAAGCCCTCCTTTTCTTGTGTATTTTTCTCACTCTCTAAATCAAAGCTAAACTTATCATGTTGCCTATTTTCATTAAGCTGATATTTAGAATTCTTATCTATATAGAGAGGTCCCTTGTGATATTAATAATAAAATAGTTAATAATTTTAGAATAAAGGTAAATGATTTCACCTGCCACCTATTTGTAATACCATGCTTGAGTTTGTGGTCCCTGGTTTTGGCCCAGCCAGTCCTGGCCATTGTGGGCATTTGGTGGGAGAAACATTGGAAAGGCGTACTCTCTCTCCCCTCTCCTTGATCCCAAATGAATAGAAAGTACATGTATTGGTGTAGAATTCTGTGGGCCTAAACCTCCCATATTGGAGTGCTACATACAGCAAGTTAGATAATAAGCAATAACTTGGTTAGTTCTCAATCTTAGTATGCAAAATGTTCTCATAGTAGTGTGGTGGTAGAGCACCAGAAACTGATAGAATCCTGGCTAGCCTCCTGTCTCCCACTCTCCCAATCTGGAGAAGAGTCTCAGGACCTGAGAAATGTCAACCAACATGGGGACCACTGTTATGGCATAGCAGGTAATTCTGCCACTTGCAACATCAGCACTTTGCTCCTGATTTGGGCCTGGCTCAGCCCTGGCCATTTTGGCCACCTTGGGCATGAACCAGAAGATGGAATGTATCTTTCACTCTGTCTCACCCTTTTTTTCTGTATCTCCTTCAAATAAGGATTAAAAAAAAAAAAAAAAAAACCAAAGTTCAGAACAACTATTTAAAAACATCAATAGCTGGGTGCTGTGAAGGATGTTGATATCTTGTGCTAGTCCTTGTAATCAAGGTTTTTCTGTGGTGTCATAACTGATTTAGATAATGAGAATTCTACACATCTTGGGGGAAAGTTTCACGCATTTTCTGTTGTGTCTGTTGAGTTTCAAGTGGAGCTTTTCCCCAATTAACCAATCAAAACTGTCCTTCTCCCTGACAGTCAAGAACTTCCCATTTTACAACCTATTAAAAAACAGCTAGAAATCACTCATTAATGGCTGTCTTCTACAGGGAATATTTTGATTTTGATTTCTCTGTGTTTTTTCTTTTCTTCCTTTTTAATTTTTAATTTTTTTAAAATTTTAAAATTTTAAAATTTTTAATTTTTTTTAAATTTTTATTTAATGAATATATTTTTACATAGATACAACTTTAGGAATATAGTAGTTCTTCCCCCCAGTCCATTCTCATATTACAATTCAACAGGGACAGAGGTCCCACCTGGGGAGCAAGTGCACAGTGACTACTGTTGTTCCTTTAACAATTAACACTCTTTTTTTATGATATCAGTGATCATCCTCTTGCCATGGGCTGCCAAGGCTCTGTAAGCCTTTTGTGACCACAGACTATTGGTATTTGGACACTGCCATAAGCAAAGTGGATGTTCACTTCTCCCTTCAGAGAAGACTGTCTCCTTCTTTGATGACCCTTTCTTTCCTCTGAGGTCTCACAGAGATCCTCCACGTAGGGTAATTTTTGTCACAGAGTCTTGTCTTTCCATGCCTGAAATGCTCTGGCAGGCCTTTCAGCCCAACCAGGAAGCCTTTAAGGGTTGATTCTGAGGTCAGAGTGTTATTTACTGAGAAAGTCATTCTAGGAGTCTGCTGTGTGGTCTGCTTCCCATGTTGGTCCTTCCTTCCTTTTTATTTCTATTATTTTTACTGTGTACTTGATGTTATTTATATTATCCCTTTTAAACTTGGACTGAGCTATCTGTTGCCTTTAACATATAATATGATCATTTTAACAGTGAAGATGGTGTTTATACCATCAATTCTTATGGGTTTGGAGCCCCATGACTAGTTCCTAGGCTTTACCCTGAGAGGGAAGTCTATATGTCTGTATGCAGAACTATACAATTTTATAATTTTATACTACTTCCTCCATCTCTTATTCCCTCCCTTATTTTTAACTGGGATCTTTTTCCAATTGCCTTAAAATACATATAATTAACTCTCTGTTACATAGAGAGTTCAGCATTTAGTATGAAGTAGAGAAGTGAGAGAGAAAGAAATAAAACAGAAAAAACTGACAAAACAAAACAAAAAGGATATACACAGTAAAAGTAACAATGGTAAACTGCCTCTCGACAATCAGGTCAAGGGTTCTTGAAGACATTGGTTCTAAAAGGGACAATTTTGCTTCTACAGCTTTCATTTTATCTGCACTATTAATTCTCCCAATTCAGGGAGAACATATGGTGTTTGTCTCTTTGGGACAAAGATCATACTCACTAAGTATGAGGTTTTCCAGCTTGCTCCATTCTGTTGCAAAGGACCGGATTTCATCCTTTTTTACTGCTGTATAGGATTCCACAGTGTACATATCCCACAATTTCTTTACCCAGTCTTCGTTTGATGGACATTTAGGCTGCTTCCATGTCTTAGCTATTGTGAATTGAGCTGCAATAAACATGGAGGTGCAGATAGTACTTTTATTTACTGATTTCATTTCCCTTGGGTAAATTCCCAGGAGTGGGAAGGCTGGGTCATATGGTAGGTCTATATTCAGATTTTTGAGGTATCTCCATACTGTTTTCTACAGTGGCCTTACCAGTTTACCTTCCCACCAACAGTGGGTTAGGGTGCCCTTTTCCCCACATCTTCTCTAGCATTTGTCGTTTGTTGATTTCTGTATGAGGGCCACTCTAACTCAGGTGAGGTGAAATCTCATTGTGCTTTTGATTTGCATTTCCCTGATGGCTAGAGATCCTGAACATTTTTTCATGTGTCTATTGGCCATTTGGACTTCCTCTTTTGAAAAATGCCTGTTAAAATCCTTGGCCCATCATTTTATTGGGTTGTTTTGTTACTGTGGAGTTTCTTGATCATCTTATAGATTCTGGTTATTAATCCTTTTTCAGTTGTATAGTTTGCAAATAATTTGTGTAGTTGCAAATAAAAAACTCTGTTGGTTGCCTCTTCACTTTCCTAACTGTTTCTTTTGCTGTAAAGAAACTTCCCAATTTGAGGTAATCCATTTGTTCATTTTGGCTTTGACTACCTATGCCTCTGGGGTCTTTTCCAGGAATTCTTTGCCTGTTCCAATGTCTTGAAGTGTTTCCCCTATGATCTCTATTAATTTGATGGTATTGTGGCATAGATTTAGATCTTTAATCCATGTTGAGTGGCTTTCTGTATATGTTGTAAGGTAGGGGTCTTGCTTCATACTTTGACATGTGGAAATCCAGTTTTCCCAGCACTATTTGTTGAAGAGGCTGTCCCTGTTCCAAGGGTTGGTTTTAGCTCCTTTGTTGAATATGAGTTGGTTGTAGATGTTTGAATTGATTTCCAGTGTTTCTATTCTGTTCCATTTGTCTATCCGTCTGTTTTTGTACCAGTAACAGACTGTTTTGCTTAGAATTGCCCTGTAGTGTGTCTTGAAGTCTGGTATTGTCATGCCTCCAGCTTTATTTTTATTGTATAGAATTGTTTTAGCTATGTGAGGTCTCTTGTTCCTCCATATGAATTTCAGCATCATTTTTTCTAGGTCTGTGAGGAATGTCTTTGGTATTTTGATTGGTATAGCATTGAACCTGTAAATTGCTTTTGGAAGAATGGATATTTTGATGATATTGATTCTTCCAATCCATGAACATGGCAGATTTTTCCATTTTTTGTGTCTTCTTCTATTTCTTTCTTTAATATCTTGTAATTTTCATCATAGAGATCTTTTGACATCTTTGGTTAAATTTATTCCAAGGTACTTGATTGTTTTGTGGCTATTGTGAATGGGATTGATTTTAGAAGTTCTTTCTCAGCCACAGCATTGTCTGCCTATATTAAGGCTGTGGATTTCTGTGCATTGATTTTGTATCCTGCTGCTTTACACTCATATGAGTTCCAACAGTCTCTTAATGGAGTCCTTTGGGTCCTCTAAATATAGAATCATGTCATCTGCAAATAGGGATAGTTTGACTTCCTCCTTTCCCATTTGTATCTCTTTGATTTCTTTTTCTTTCTTAATAGCTTTGTCTAAAACCACTAAGACTATATTGAATATCAATGGTGAGAGTGGGTACCCCTGTCTGGTGCCAGTTTTCAATGGAAATGCCTCTAACTTTTCCCCATTCAATATAATGCTGGCCATGGGTTTGTCATAAATTGCCTTAATTGTGTTGAGGAATGTTCCTTCTAAACCCAATTTTCTTAGAGTTCTCATTATGAAATGGTGTTGTATTTTGTCAAATGCATTCTCTGCACCTATTGAGATAATCATATGACTTTTGTTTCTCAATTTGTTAATGTAATGTATCACGTTGATTGATTTTTGAATGTTGAACCATCCCGGCATACCAGGGATAAACCCCACTTGTTCTGGGTGAATGGTCTTTCTTTTTTTTTAATTTATTTATTTTTTTGACAGGCAAAGTGGACAGTGAGAGAGAGAGACAGAGAGAAAGGTCTTCCTTTTCCATTGGTTCACCCCCCAATGGCCAGTATGGCCAGCACACTGCACTGATCCAAAGCCAGGAGCTATGCAGTCTCCCATGTGGGTGCAGGGTGTAAGGACTTGGGCCATCCTCCACTGCCTTCCTGGGCCACAGCAGAGAACTGGACTGGAAGAGAGGCAACCAGGACAGAATCTGGTGCCCCAACCGGGACTAGAACCTGGTGTGCTGACGCTGCAGGCAGAGGATTAGCCTATTGAGCCATGGCACCGGCAATCTTTCTGATTTGTAATTGGATTCAGTTGGCCAGGATTTTGTTGATTATTTTTGCGTCTATGTTCATCAGGGAGATAGATCTATATTTTTCTTTCTCTGCTGCATCTTTTCTGGGTTTAGGAAATAAAGTGATATTGGCTTCATAGAAAGAATTTTGGAGAACTCCCTCCCTTTCAATTGTTTTGAATAATTTGAGAAGAACTATGATTAATTGTTCTATAAATGTCTGGTAGAATTCAGCAGTGAAGCTGTCTGGTCCTGGGCTCTATTTTTTCAGTAGCACATTTATTACTGATTCAATTTCTTTCATGGTTATGGGTCTGTTTAGGTTTTCTATGTCTTCATGACTCAATTTATATAACTTGTATGTGTCCAGGAATTTATCCATTTCTTCTAGGTTTCCAAATTTGTTGGCATACAGCTCTTTGTAGTGGTTTCTGATGATTATTTTTATTTCTGTTGTGTCTTTTGTTACATTTCCATAACCATTTTTAATTTTACTGCTTTGAGCCTTTTCTCTCCAATTTTTTGGTTAGTTGGGCCAATCGTGTGTTAATTTTTTTTTTTTTCAAAAAACCAGCTCTTCATTTTGCTGATCTTTTGTATTGTTTTTTTGATTTCAATTGTGTTGATTTCTTCTCTTAGCTTGATAATTTCTTCTCTTCTACTAGATTTGGGTTGGTTTGCTGCTGTTTTTCTAGATCCTTGAGGTGCATAGAGAAATCATTTATTTGGTACCTTTCCAATTTCTTGATTTAGGTACCAGTTGTTATAATCTTTCCTCTTAGCACTGCTTTTGCTGTATCCCACAAATTTTGATAAGCTGCATTGTCATTTTCATTTGTTTCTGTGAATCTTTTGATTTCTCTTTTTGTTTCTTTTATGACTAACTGTTCATTCAGAATCAAATTGTTCATTCTCCATGTGTTTGCCTATGATGAAGAGATTCTTAAGTTGTTGATTTCAAGCTTCATTGTATTGTGCTCTGAAAAGATGCATGGTATAATTTCAAAATTTTTTTTGAATTTGCTGAGGCTCCCTTTATGCCCTGCCTGTGGTCAATCCTAGAGAAAGTTCTGTGCACTGGGAAGAAATATGTGTACTCTGTGGCTGTGGGGCGGAATTCTCTGTAGATATCTACTAGGTCTATTTGATCTTAGTGTCAATTAGCTCTGTTGTTTCCTTGTTGGTTTTCTGTCTGGTTGATCTATCCATTGCTTAAAGTGAGCTATTGAAGTTCCCTGTTACTATTATATTTGAGTCTACATCTCCCTTTAAATCCTTTAATAATTTTTTCAAATAGCCAGGTGCCCTGTAATTAGGTGCATATACATTTATAAAAGTAATATATTTGTGTTGGATTGATCCTTTAATCATTACCTAGTATCCTTCTTTGTCTCTTATAATAGCTTTTGTGTTAAAGTCTATTTTGTCTGATATTAGGATGACCACACTGTCTCTTTTTTAGTTTCTGTTAGCTTGGAATATCTTTTTCCATCCTTTCACTTTCAGTCTGTGTGCATCTTTGCTGGTGAGGTGTGATTTCTGAAGGCAACAGATAGATGGGTTTTCTTTTTTAATCCATTCAGCTAGTTTGTGTCTTTTGACTGTAGAGTTGAGACCATTTACATTCAGTGTGACTATTCTTAAATACTGTCTTTTTCCTGCCATGTTTCCTTAAGTAGAGCTGTTTATGTATTTTGGTATTTGTATTTTAGCTGGGTCATTTTCTACATTGGTCTTCTTTTGTAGTAAAGTTCCTGTTTCTGTGTTTCTGCATGAAGCACACCTTTGAGCCAGTGTTGTAGGGCTGGATGCAAAGATACAAATTCTTTCAGTTTCTGTTTGTTGTGAAATATCTTTATTTCCCCTTCATTCATAAATGATAGCTTTGCAGGGTTCAGTGTTCTCTGTTGGCAGTGTTTTTTTAAAACTTGCCTGTAAGGTTTGTGATGAGAAGTCCAGGGTGAGTCTGATTAGATTACCTCTGAATGTGATTTTTCATTTTCCTCTGACACATTTTTCTCTGTGTTTTTCAAATAAACTCAGCTTATGCACTACATATTATTCTTTGTTTATACACCTAATTCTTTGTGGTCAGGAAACACAAATCTAAGTATTTAGAACTGCAGATTTCTTCAATAAACCCCCCTGACAAGAGTCACATATTATTTTTCTGTTTTTTTTTAAATATTTATTCTCTTTATTTTTTTATTTGAAATGCAGAGTTACAAAGAAAGGAAAAGGAGGAGAGAGAGATCTTCCATTAACTGGTTTACTTTCCATATGGCCACTACAGGAAGGACTGGGCCAGGCTAAAACCAGGAGCCTGAATCTTTTTCCAACTCTCCCATGCGAGTGCAGAGGTACAAGCACTTAAACCATATTCTTCTGTTTTCCAGGTGCATTAGAATGGAGCTACCTCAGAAATGCAGCTGCTGGGTCTCAAATTGGTGCCCATATGGGAGGACAGCATTGCAGGTGGAGGCCTAACCTGCTATGCCAAAATACTGGTCCCAGTTCTTGCTTTTTCTAAATATTTTGACTCTAAGATAGCTCAGAACTCCTGTTTTAGCTACTTTAAAAGTTACCTGTGGATATAGTATGGAAGAAGAGAGATGATAGGATGTGAAGATGGTTGCAAAAATAATGCCACCATACAGCAAAATGTATTTTTAATTTGTGCACCACTGAGTCAGGAGTAGAATTCTTTCTTTTAAAATTATAACCAAGCAGTATCCCCCAAAACTTTCTATCAGTATAAAAGGAGTCATGCTTCTTTGGGAAATTATGTGATATTGAAATATTTATATAGTTAACATAAGGAAATAATGATTGTAAAAAGTAAAACAAAACTTCAAAGAAGATAGATACTGTTCTGAGGTGTCATATTACATCAAAAAATTTCAATGACTTTTTTTTTTTCTGACAACTTTCTATTGGCATGTTTGAACTATACTTCCTCACCAAAGCCATTTGAAATGAAATCCATTAGGCAAGTTACTCCACCTCTCTTAAATTGTGTAAAGTACCATGGCAATCTTTGCCACCTACAAGGATATACAATATGACCTCTGAATTCTCTCCCAGTAAGTGGTAATGCCTTGATGATAAATATGTTTTCTTCAGCAGAAGAACACTTCTTTTACCTTAGCTTATGTGTAGAGAAATAGGCTTCCTCAAATTTTACAATCTTGTTCTGTATCTGGATCTGCAGCAGGGGAACAAACTGGAGAGAGAACAGTTTTAGTGTATCAGAGTGTGTGCCACCATCACCCTGGAGTTACTGCATCCCCTTATTTGTGCTCACCTTTGTGATTCAGTACTTTTGGAGCAGCTAGTATCACCTCTACATGAAAAATTCACTGGTTCACTCTTCAAATGGACCCAATGGCCAGAGCTGGGCCAGTTTGAATCCAGGATCCAGAAGCTTCTTCATGTTCTCCCATGTGAGTGCAGGTGTCCAAGTATTTGGAATGGCTTCCACTGCTTTCCCCAGTGCATTGGCAGAGAGTTGCATTGGAAGTGGCACAGCAAGAACTTGAACCAGAACCCATATGGGATTCTGCCATCACAGACAGTGGCTTTAGCCACAATGCTACTGAAAATTATTTTTTAGAGATAGCTCAATCACCATAATTAACTCCACTTTTTCCATGTGACACACACACACACACACACACACATAATGTCTTGAACTGTTTTCAATATCATTCTGGCAAATCTGTCCTCCCTGCCTCTTTCATACCTGTTATTAATTTGTTGTCTGACATATAATATCTCTGGCACTGGATTGTCCATTGTTTTCTAGCTTTCTAATTTTGAAGTGCGTAAGAAGTTTTTTAGTTGTCTAACTTGGCATTATCCTAATCTCAAGTGAACATAAAACTTAACATGTAATTCTTGCCCCTTTAAATATCATCATGTGAAGTTGGAGAAAATGTAGTAACCTACAGGCATCAGTGTACTTTTGAGGGCTCCTTTCAATTACTTTCTCTATCTTCATATCTTAATTGCCCATGGATGGTGTCTTCATGACTCCCTGACAGAGGACCTCTCTGATGCTTAGCATAGACTAGATACCATTGTTAAATACATGTTTTAAATGTAAATGGAAAATAACACATTTATTATCTCAGAATATTAACCTCACTTTATAATTATGTTCTCATTTGTGTCAGTATGTGGATTAATACTTCTGAGAACATGTTTGGGATCTAGTAAGGACTCAGTAAGTATTTTCTGGAAATGATATTCTAATCATATAATGAGGGCTATGCCTCTTCCACATGGATTGGACAAGGTAGCTTATAAGTTTGGGGGCCAAAATGAGCAAGAGATAACATAAAAAAGAGATCTCTGACTTGAATAGACCAGTGGTTTCCCAACAACACTGGAGAAATGCCATAATCTGCTATGAATCATGGATAATAAACTCCGGGAGAATGGGATTGGATTGATTACTTTTTCCTTTACTCTTTTCAAATTTCCTTGTAACACAGATATATAGCAATCTAGTTAGTTATGTCAAGTATCTTCTTGGCCTGGAGAATTCAGAAAATGTTAGAGACAAGTGAAGAGACAAAGTAGACCAGTGAGAACTGAAGCAACACAGAGGGAATTGTGAGATGGTAAGCAGAGATTGGGAGCAGCAGAATAGAGAGATCATACAAGGCTGGCACCACGGCTCAATAGGCTAATCCTCCTCCTGTGGCGCCAGCACACTGGGTTCTAGTCCCGGTCGGGGCACCGGATTCTGTCCCAGTTGCCCCTCTTCCAGGCCAGCTCTCTGCTGTGGCCCAGGAGTGCAGTGGAGGATGGCGCAAGTGCTCGGGCCCTGCACCCCATGGGAGACCAGGAGAAGCACCTGGCTCCTGCCTTCGGATCAGTGTGGTGCACCGACTGCGGCGGCCATTGGAGGGTGAACCAACTGCAAAAGGAAGACCTTTCTCTCTGTCTCTCTCTCACTGTCTACTCTGCCTGTCAAAAAAATAAAAAATTAAAATTAAAAAAAAGAGATCATACAGGAGAAGCAGGAGGAGAAACTCATAAATACCTGAGAGGTGCTGAGTTGTCAATAGTCAGGCCATATCGGACCCATGGAGTATTTTATTTGGTTACTAAAAGGAAAGTATTATCCCAGATTATAAAACTCTGGATAAACACATTACACAGTAGCCTGAGAACAATATGCTCAGGAGTGTTATTCCATTATCAGGATCATTATGAGTACAGAGATAACTGCATCAAACTCTCTTCCCATGATGCCACTAAATATTCAAATCACTTAGCAGTTTCCCTTGATCTGACTTTGGCCTCTCTCAGCAAGCTTATGATCATATTGGGATTTGCACATAGGACTATTTATGGCAGTTCACTTCTTTCTGTGAATTATCAGATTGATGTTCTGAATTTATTCATCAAACTCATTCATGCATGCGTCTTTGATTAAACCACTCTCCATTTGTTTCTGGAAACAGTTTCCAAAACCGAGGAGGTGAACTGCTGCCCTTGATGTAGCAAGCCATGCTCTGAGTCCTGAGTGGGGCTTTCTCCATCATCTCCTCTTTCCTACTTGAGTGTTTTTTCTGTTCCTCCACACCTTACACACATAGATTTGTGTTATAGGAAACATTCATTATGAAGAGAAGTATAAACATGGTCTCTTGTTATTGTTTACAATTTATCTAAGAAGAAGAAATGTCACACGAGATCGGGTGCGTTCAGGGTGGTATGGCCGTAGAAAAGTGATCCCTGTTAGGAATTTGGAAAACATTATGCTGAGTGAAATAAGCCAATCCCAAAGGGACAAATACCACATGTTTTCCCTGATAGGTGACAACTAACTGAGCACCAAAAAGGAAACCTGTTAAAGTGAAATGAACACTATGAGAAATGGTGACTTGATCAGCGCTCACCCTGACTGTTGATGGACAACTTAATATGTTATCCCTCTTAGTATTTTTTTTTGTTTGTTCTACTTAATACTTTTGGTTGAATACTGTAATCAATACACAATTATTCTTAATTGCTGAAACTTAACTGAAAAGTGATCACTGTTAAATATAAGAGTGGGAATAAGAGAGGGAAGAGATGTGCAATTCGGGACATGCTCAAGCTGACTTACCTCAAACGGTAGAGTTAGAAACATACCAGGGGATTCCAATTCAATCCCATCAAGGTGGCATGTACCAATGCCATCTCACTAGTCCCAGTGATCAATTTCTGTTCACAATTGATCATAATGATAGGACTAAGAACCAAAGGGATCACATAAACAAGAATAGTGTCTGCAAATACTAGCTGATAGAATAAAAAAGGGAGAGAACGATCCAACATGGGAAGTGAGATACACAGGAGACCCATAGAATGGTGGATGTCCTAAACAGCACTCTGGCCTCAGAATCAGCCATTAAGGCATGCGGATCTGGCTGAAAAGCCCATGAAAGTATTTCAGGCATGGAAAGCCAAGACACTCTGGGGAAAAAAAAAAAAAAAACCTAAATGAAAGATCTCCGCGAGTGAGATCCCAGTGGAAAGAATGGGTCATCAAAGAAGGAGGTACCTTTCTCTGAAGGGAGGAGAGAACTTCCACTTTGACCATGGCCTTGTCTAAATATGATCAGAGTTGGTAAACCCAGGGGGCTTCCATAGCCTTGGCAGCTCATGACAAGAGCCTAGGGTGATTACTGATGCCATAAACAAGAGTGTCAATTTGTTAAGTCAACAACAGGAGTCACTGTGCACTTACTCCTCATGTAGGATCTCTGTCCTTAGTGTGCTGTACATTGAGATTTAATGCTACAACTAGTACTCAAACAGTATTTTTCACTTTATGTTTCTGTGTGGGAGCAAACTGTTGAAATCCTTACTTAATGTATACTAAGCTGATCTTCTGTATATAAAGAGCATCGAAAATGAATCTTGATGTGAATGGAAGGGGAGAGGGAGTGAGAAAGGGGAGGGTTGTCAGTGGGAGGGACGTTATGGGTGGGGAAGCCATTGTAATCCATAAGCTGTACTTTGGAAATTTATATTCATTAAATAAAAGTTAAAAAAAAAGAAGAAGAAATGCCTTCACCAAACCTTTAAAATATTTAATGACTCAAAAATTGGTACTAAGATAAATAAGAAAGAAAATAATTGCTGAAATAAAATTAAATAAGAAAATAACTATATTTTGTATTCAAAAATTTATGTCAATTCTAGCTAGACAAGCACAAAAGCTGTGTGGAGTAGGTGAGCATTAAATTAAACTTAAAGGATCATAGAGATTTCAGTTAAATGACGTTTTGGGAGGACAGAGCAACAAGGTGAACGAGAACTTGGTGTATTCTGGCCCTGAAAATAAAACAAGACCCTTTGATATATCAATATCATCATTTTAATCAACAATACTTCACCACAGGACCACTTCGACTCATATTATCACATTCTTGATTCAATCAAGAGTTATCATAGCTTGACCACTTTACAGTTTAGTGTCAGTTCTTAGGCATGGAATGCCCTCAAGATTCCCAAGAGGGGCCCACCTCTCATGAAATCCAACCTGTAAGCTCCATGGGGAGCTGTTCATTCTGCTGTGTTCATCCCCATGGACAGTGTCTGGCACAGATTTTGATAAATGTTGAATGAACAAGTAAACACAGGCTTTACAGGATCTAATTTGGACTTTTGAAGTTGTCTCCAAATAAGTTAATATAGATAAGCATCATAAAAATTTAAGCTTTTATTCCATCATTGAACTGCATCTATACATTTTTCCCCCAAAATATTCTATTTTGTGACTAGCATAACTGTACTAAATTACAATTTTTGGTGTTAAATGTGTTATGATGAACAGATGTATTAAAATATATTCAAAGCAAGCATTTGTCACAGTGGTTAAGATGCTCCATGGGATACCTGAATCTTATATCAGCATGCTTGAGTTTGAGTCTTGGCTCTGCTCTAGATTCTGGCTTTCTGCTAAGGTGCTCCTGAGAAGCAGAAAGTGATTCCTTCAGTTTTTAGGTTCCTGATACACATGTGGGAGACCTGGATTGAGCTGCTGCCTCTTGGCTTCATCCTAGTCAGCCTTAGCTATTGTAGGCATTTGGGGAGTGAACCAGCAGTTAGATGAACTCTCTTTAACTAACTTCATCTTTCACTCTTTCTTTGAAATAAAATAAACAAAAATGTTAAAGAAATCATTGGAATTTTTACAATTCTTTTTAAAGTATCTTTAAAATAATTTTTAAATACACTATGAACCTCAGATAAACAGTTTGGGGATGGTATTGACTGGGGGATGTAAACTGGCTTGAGTTACCCCACTCTAAGAAGTGCTTCAAAATGTTCATGGGAAAAAATTAAAAAGTGAGTTCATCTTACTGCATGAATTCTTTTGAAATCCTTGCTTATGAAAGGATTTCAAAAAGTTCCTGGATGGCTTGCGGTGAAAATAACTATGCATAGATTTATATTTTTCTTGTAACAAAATAAACTTATCTTTAAATTTCAGTTTTTCAAAGGCATTTTGAAGGACACTTGTATATATTCAACAAATAGATTGTTCCAGGTGATTAGTTAAGGAAATTTGAAAACAGTCATTTGCTTCTAGCCTCCCCCCATATATATGTGTGTATGAATGTATGTGCATGTGTGTATGTGTGTAGATTTTTTTCATTTATTTGAAAGGCACAGTTAGAGGGAGCAAGAGAGAAAGAGAGTGAGAGAGTGTGTATGTTTGTGAGTGTGAGAGAGATATCTTCCATCCATTCGTTCACTCCCCAAATGACTGTGATGGCCAGAGATGGATCATTCTGAAGCCAGGAGTCAGGAGATTCTTTTGGATCTCCTATGCAGATGCAAGAGCCCAAGAATTTGGGCAATCTTCCACTGCTTTCCAAGGCAAATTAGCAAAGAGCTGGACAGGGAGCAGAGCAGGTGGGACTCCAGCAGGCACTCATAGGGGATTCCAGCCCTGGAGGCAGTAGCTTTAACCACTATGCCTCAGTGCCAGCCCCTTCTAATTATTTTTCATTATTGACATTTTCTTTTCAAGTAAGAATTTATAGATTTTGTCTTAAAGGACATTTAAGGGAAAGCCCAACTTCAGTGAACTAAAGGAGAATTTTGTCATTTCCAGCCCAACCGTCTATGACTCACTGATTGCTATGTATAACACAAGGAGCTCATAGCACAAGATGCAATTCAAATAGTTTAGCAGTACAGAGCATAAGACCTGGGTTCATTTAAATATGCCAGCTGTGTTGTTGACTAATGTATGATGTCTAGGACACACCTAACCTCTCCAGAACCCAGTTTCCTCATCTCAGCAGTAGACAAGATAATGGTCCTTTCTCAGGGTTAGTGTGAATTTAAGGGTGATTTCTGGGCCTGGTACTGTGGCATAGTGAGTATTGCCAGCATTCCATATGGGCACCAGTTTGATTCTCAGCTGCCCCACTTTTGACCCAGCTCCCTGCTGATGTGCCTGGGAAGGCTGCAGAGGATGGCCCAATTACTTGGGCTTGGGCATCCATGTGGGAGACCAGGAAGAAGCTCATGTCTCCTGGATTTAGGCTGACCTATCCTTGGCCATTGC